CATGTCAGCGGCGGGGAGCAAGAGGGCAGGCGCTGACCTCCAACAAAAAGAAGAAGTAATTTTATCGGAATACAAGAGTTTTTTTTTTCTTTCGAAATCCGAATAGAAAGGGTACAGGTTGTATTCGAATACAACCTGTACATTTTCTATTCGAGGAAACTGTGGTATTCGAGAAAAGTGCACCCGCACCGTTTCAATTTTGAAAAAGGCTTAAGGACCGCGGCCTCCTCAGCCTCCTCCGTGCAGCTACCGGTCCTAGGCGGTCCTGGCCCTTGCAAGGCCCCAAAAACTCAAAATGCCCACCTTGCCGACGACCACCGACGTTGAAATTTTGATTGACGTTGAACGTTGAAATGTCTGGGGGGGAAAACGCAACCCTGACGGGCTGCGAACATGGGACGCTGCACCCGGTTTCAGCAGGTGTAACTCCCCACCAATAGATAGGAGCCATCTATGGGACAGGTACTATACTGGGGGATGCCTGTATCACCCCCAGCAGTACCACTAGCAGACAAAAAACAAGGGAATACAACGCCTCCATGAGAGTGGGACAGCTCTCTGCGTGTGTGTGTGTATGTGTGTGTGTATGTGGGTGGGTGTGTGTGTGGGTGGGTGGGTAGGTGGGTGGGAGGAGTGGGGGAGGGGGAAGGGGCAGTACAGTTTGTTATGTTTTTGCCCCTGATCTGTGGACGAGCCAATTCATGTAGGGAGGACGGCAGAAAAGGGGAGAAAAAGAGCTCCCTATCCCCCTCCCGCCTCCTTTGCCTCCGTTCCTCCCTCCCTCCCTCCTCTCCTTTCTGTCCACCTGCGTACCTTCCTCCCTCCCTCTCACGTGTGTTCAACTTCCCCTCCCTTGCATCCCTCACCCGCGGGTCCCTCTTCTCCCCCCCCCACCTTCCCGCCCCTGCCGTGGAAGTCACCTCAAACCTCCTCTACGATTCGTAGCAAACAGTTTGCTTCACGAGTGCTAATGGATCATGGATCTGACAATTCCAGTTCATTAGTACCGATTGATTGCTTGATTGATCGCTTGATTGATAGGTCAATCAATCGATTGATCAAGTGATTGAGACGATTGAAATGATTGATCCATGGATTGGTCGCTTGAATGATGTATTGATCCCTTGATTGGTTGATTGACTGATTGATTGTTTGTTTGATTGATTGAGGGATTGAAATGATTGATGTAGTGGATTGCTAGATTGATTGGTTGATTGGTTGATTGGTCGACTAATTTACTCCCATACAGTCTTGGAGTGGAGTTCGTAGTACCGTCTTCTCCCAAACACCACCGCACCCTCATCATCAACGTATACAGGCTGTCTTTCCGGCCTGCATTGCTTGAATGGTTCGTGTCCCCCCGTTGTGCCTGGAGAAATATAGTAGCACTGTAGCAGTGAATATACTCAATCTGATCTGGTTAACTTAGATGTAGACGCTCAGCTTGATCTCGTCACCGTGGATGCGCCGACCCTCGACTCCATCAATCGCACAGCTACCGTCTTCCCCCGAATACAACGCACGCTCATTTTGACTGTATCGGGCCGGAAAATTGCCCCCTGCATACGTTCATTTTCAGGGTGCGTTATGTTCGGGGGAAGACGGTAGCCAGTTCTCCAGCTGCTGAGCGACTGCGCGACCTAGTTACGAAGCTGTCTCTCTCCTGTTCCTTTGGATTCTTTTTTTTCTCTCTCTCTTCTCCTGATTTTGCTAACTGATTTTGCAAAGCAGGCAGCCCGGCCCAGCTTCGCTTTGCTAATGCTGAATGTCTGCCCCCGACCTCCCAGTGTCAGCAGCCACCGAAGCTCGTGACGAGGTCGCTCTCTAGCTCGACGCCTGGTGAGCCACTTCGTTACCCGAGACCGTGGTCGTGCGACCGTAGTCGTGCGACCGCAGCAACGGACAGGTCACAGGACAGGTCACGGCATATACTCGGACGATAGCAACACAAAGTTCTTATTTTTCGGATGACGACAACCAGAATTCTGTCGTCTGGTCATTCATTGTACGGAGGACACATGCGGGAAGAGTGTGTGAGTCAGTGTGACCCAGGCTGAAGGGTTCAATCAGTCGTCAGTCGTCGACCGCACACGTCAGCCTCCCGATGAGTCGATGAAGGCTCGAAGAAACAGCCTGCCTGTTACAATCACCACTCCTTTCCGGAACGTGGTCGTGTTGAGCGTCTCTAACCACGCTAACCCGATCGAGTAAGCGAGTCTACATCTACTGTAACTCGATCGAGTTAGTGAGTCTACAGTTAATTCAACATCATCGGGATACCGTATAGATCAAGCAGCGGGAACCGGATCGCGTTGAGAGTGTACATCTTTGGTAACCCGATACCTATCGACTTAGCGAGTCTACATGGAAGTCAACCTGATCGGGATACCGTAGATCTAGCGAGTTTAGAGTCTAAGCTAGCTTGCTATATCGTGTTTAGTCAGAAGTACAAAACACACTGAAAGAAGCTGATTCGGAGGAATGGGTCGACGTGGAGGATCAATAGTTGGCGAATCGTTATCGCGTTTGTTCGGCACATGGCTAGATAGGATAGATGGCTAGATAGATAGGATAGGTAGCTAGATCATAGAAAGATAGCAGGAAAGCGAAATGGCTAACTGGGTGGTTGGATGGTAAATCCGGAAGTTAGCTAACTTAGGCCCTAAACTCGCTAGACAAAATTTAGCTAGCAGAGCGCGAATGAGCTTGCTAACCATATGGATCCATATGGCATTAGTAAGTAGGCGAAGGGTTAGTCAGCTTGCCAGCTAGCCACAGTTAGCCACAGTTAGCCACAGTTAGCCACAGTTAGCCACAGTTATCGCGCTAGTGAGCGACTTACGTACGAAGCTACTTGGGTAGTGCGCGTTACTCTCTGCCTACGACGGACACTCGTATACAGAACGACATAGTCGTAAAATACACGCACGAACACACACACACACACACACACACACACACACCTGTCTCTTATACACATCTAGATGTGTATAAGAGACAGTTTCTCAGGGGCTGGAGAAAGAAATAGAACTGGTGTGGGTCTCCTTTTGGCTGGCGGAGCATCACCAGCCATTTTGCTCTGGAGGCCTAGCCCCC